GGTTTAGGGGTTTGAGGCTTAGGGTCAAAGGGCACTTGGTGATTGGACCTCAAAATCTGAATCCCACCCGAGTTACATTGAGGAATGTATAGTGTTGTTGCATCCTTTTCATGGTATGGTGCTGACAATCAACACCGCCGGAGCATACACCAGCCCACCCGATTTCATGGGGGGAGAGGGCGGGGGGAGGGTCCAGGGCTTAGCCGGGGGGGGGGGGGGGGGGGGNNGAGGGGGATAATTTTCAACGGACCCCGTATAATTGATAGCTAAGCATCACCAAGGCGAAAGAATCACTGTAGTACTACTGATACGGGCGTGCGCATCCGTGGTAGGGCCCTTATCCCGAATGGCTTGTAGCATACCGTAAACACTCCTCAACACCTGACCTCAATTTTTGGCCAACAAGCAAGCCGAGAAAGCCGAACGAGGCCTACTCACGGGGGAGTCGCTCAAAATCAACGGGGCCTTCGGCCTCTTGCCAAAGCAAAGAATGGAACAGACATCTTAGCGTGTGGAGGTTAGCTTCTACAAAAGNNACCCCGCCAGAAATGTCCAGGTGCTGCAAAGCCGGCTACGGCAAATGCTGCTCCAGTAACACCCACCGACCTGGATCGGCAGGGGGAGCATGTGGGGTTTCTACAAACAGGCGGAGACCTTCGGCGCGCATGAGGATTTATGAGGGTAGTATGGGGAACCCTGGCAACGAATATATACGGATTGCTTTGAAGATTCTCATCTAACAATAAATCGTGTGGGTTTACTACCATTGCATGTAACTTGGCACCAACAACAAGTCCCCGCCCCTGATAATGAGCCCCCCCCCCTCCGCTTAAGGACAAACATTCACAGTATAATGCAGTATAGCAAGAAATATATTCCCTTTATAGTACATCACAACGACTACATCAAAAAAGAAAACTTGTGCTCAACAGTGATCCAGAGACCCTGCATGAGAGGCCTTGGTTGTTCTTGGGAATTACACGGCCGTGTCATCAACTCTTATTCCAACTTACTCAAACAAAAGGCCTGACCCAAAGGCTCCAAAATACCTACACGGTATACCTGTGCCATAGGAACCCTTAAAATCTTCCCTAAGGGTCCAAGTA